TGAAAAAACAGTCAGAGACTAGACAAACTGACACAGTGTCCCATATGTCCACACATGTGCCTCTGTCTTAAAGAGTCTGCCACACACAACAGGAGCCCAGGTCTCTCGAACTGTGTTCTCTGTTCTTTCGTTTTAAAAATCACATCCTAATGTACAGAGTAAATCTTGTGATACTCACTCAGCTTGGCTACCAGAGAAGAAAGGCTGATCTGAGACTGTCTTAGAATTGGAACTTGGGATTCCTTGAAGTAAAAAGATGTCAGAGCTGATACCAAGACATCTAAATCATCCTCCACAATGTCGTGTGTCCCCAAGCCAACTAGAAAAAAAAAAAAGAATTACAGCACATCCTTTTCAACAAGTGAAGGGTTGATGTCTGGGTCACCTCTCAATCGTCCACTGTTCTTTTTTATTCCTATTTGCCCTTTTGTGGAGAAGGTCAATGCTGAGTTAGTACTTTGTGCTCTAAAGAAGCTGCTAATATTCTATGTTGGGCATTATTTCCCCAGTGCTTCTTTATAGGAGACCAGGCCTTTCCTAGGCTATGCCATACAATACTTAACTTGTTCGCAGTGAGTGGAAGAAGGCAACATGGTCCATTGAGAATATCAACACTTCCTTCCTCAAGTTTAAAGAGCCTATCATCTTTCTTTCATATTCTGCCCCTTAGGCAAAAATCCACACACACACACACACCAACAGGCGTGGTGAAAATCAGAAGTAATGATATCCAAGGAGTTAGCCCTTGCTAACTGAAAATACTACATTTCCAGACCTCTATAAATAACCATGCAAGTGTGGCCTAGCTGACACTGTGGCCTGGAAAAACACTCACCCTTTTAGCTTAGAGTCTTCTCCCTGAGACTATGAACCAGGTGGACAGCTGATGACATTATGAGCTACTGCTATTAGAAAGGGATATGGACTCTGAGGCACTAGGTTCTGTTCCACCTCTTGGTGTGGTAGGTAGCAGGCTAACAGTTCGGCCTCAGATTCACAAAGAACTGCTGCAAACCCAAAGCAGAAGTCTAGCTTAACTCTAAGAAATATGCAAGTTTGTTTTTCTTTTTTTGCCGGGGGTTGGGGTAGTTTGTTTGTTTGTTTGTTTACCCTTTCAAAGCTTCAAATTCCTTAAAGGTCAAATGGTCAGGAGGCCAGTGCCCATCCTGAGGATGACCATGAGAATTAAATGAGAAAACATGTATGTGTTTGAACTAATCCTTAGCACGTTATCGATGCTCAAGTGATGGCTACTATTATTTCTATTCTTAATTCTAACAGCCCGTTCCTCCACAGCCTTCAGCATGTCACTAAATCTTAGCTAGCCTCAGCCTGGAAATGGAGTGGCTACAAATAAGGTCACCTTGCCAAAGTGGATGCGAGGAGCCAGAGAGAGAATGTACTCAACTGTAAAGCCTCAGCAGGTGTCACACAAGATCACTGTGATGTTTATTGTTATTAACCTTTGATGATCTTTGCCCTCAAAGGGTCTATGGATAACTTTCCAGGGGAAAGTTTGAGAGCTAGGGAAAAAAGCAAATGGCCTCTATTACAAATTAATCCTTTTCGCAGCTCATTCCCTAATAGGCTGGTGAGCCCTTCCTTCAGAAGGGTCAGTTTCTTCCATCAACCCCAGAAAGCTGGAAGACAGGCATTTTTTTTTAAATAATCTTACCTTCTCTAGTGTCAATAGGAAATAATATTTACTCACTACTGTTTTCCTTTCAAAAATCTGTCTAGTTGCACACTAGAAACAGTTTCAGCTGGTTTGTTTGTCTTGGACAAGCTGCCGAAGTGAAAAGTTTTTGCTTGGCTGCCTGTGAAACTGTTTCATAACCCTTCAAGAAGTACATTGAAGGTGGGTGCCAGCTCCAAGGACGGCTGCTCCTAACAGGCCTCCACCTGCAGCCTATTGTCAAGGGTCGCCAGTGTAATTAAATTAAGACAATGAGAGAAGCAACAGATGTAGCCCAGTCTCTGAGTGCTTTTGTTCGTCGCTGTCATTGTCTGCAACAAAGAAATCACATGTGAGCTCCCACCCGCCCGGGAAGAGAGCCAAATGCAAGCCAGACCCAGAGCTGGTTTGAAATGGGTCCGCTGAGCCCGTGTGCTTGGGAAGCATGCCACTTAGAGCAGTGGTGGGTGCGTTTCACTCTACCATCACTCTACGGGACACTGAGGCAGACCCACAAGAAAACCACCAGGGCATGCCTTTGCTCAACCTTACCCTGTCTACCTTCTGCTTTCGGAGAAAAGCAAAACAACCAGAAGGCTAAGATCTGTAAGATGCTCAATCTAAAGCCATTTTCCCCCTTTAGTTGTGCAGAACCCTCACACACTTGAAGAGTGAAGGTCAGAAGATACCTGACTGTGTTCTTTGACAAGTTTGTAACTCAGCTCGAGAACTGGCGATTCAATCCATTATGGGATTTCTTTCACTGTTACCAGGTCATTCATGAGTTGTTTTAGTGCGTGTATTTTAGACTCATTGTTCTTTATTTCTAAGCTAGTGTGCATATTAAACAGAAAAAAATTCAAATTAGCATACTCCCCTACCTGTTGGTTAATTTGGTTAATAGTTTTGTAGACTAGTGCTGTTGACATTTCCACTATTTGAAGTGTGTAGTGAGAGGGAACAAATGGGTCCATGTGCAGCTTCAAATGGGTTGGGAGCTTTAATGATCCCACTCTTCTACCACAGATGCCTCCTTTCATTTGTTCAGAAAATGAGAATAAGGAGCAGACCTTCACTGGCAGATCAATGCTTAATGCTTTGCCCAGCAACAAAAGTACTTTAAGTGAACTTCATAAGAGTATAGACTATAAAAAGGGGAAGTCTCAATATTTTAAACTGATGGCATTTCAAGATGATGCACTCAAGATCCCAGTTTCTTCTGGCCTGCTTTTTCTCTTACAGTGAGCATGGACCTGTTATTTTAAAGAGTATTTTTACGTGAGGATGCCACCTTTCTCCTGTTTGGTCAGTAGGATATTGACCGTCGCCTCACAAAGGGCTAGTTCCCTTTCATGATTCATGAAGGACTCAGTGGTAAAACTCGTGTTCCCGGTAGGGATGATCAACATGTGTCAGAAAAAAATCACCACATGCCTAAGAGTCTTGGTTGATAGGTATTGGTTCCAAGAACTGTTAGTGTTCATCAGTATTAAATCCCCTCACCCTTCCAAGGTCTCTAAAGTCCTTTAGCTCCTAACGGTATTGAGATTGAGTGGGCATTACCCTAGGCAGGGGAAAAGTTTGGCAATTCCGGCTGCTAGTGTGAGGATGACTGTTTGGTCTTGACAAAAGTGTGTCCCCAGTGATAAGGGATACCGTGACTTCTGAAGTGCCATTCTGTACCTGTAACTGTCTATTGCATCTTCTTACAGGACATTCTCTGACTAGAGGAAAATTACCTGCAGCATCCCAAGCTAGATTCTGAGCTTTAACCACCATGAGGCAGATGAGTCTGCTCTCTTAGGACTTCTGTTCTAAATAAAATTCATATTCCTTCACTCCTTCATCATCATCATTTGTTGAGGAAATGATAATGTTAGCAACTCAAAGAACATGGTGTTTGGGCCTTAGGATTGTTACTTTCCAATTAGTACAGCATAACAAGGCCAGGGGAGATGGGTCAGTCAGCGAAGAGCCGACCGCGAAAGCATGGGAATCTGAGTTCAGATTCCTTGGCATGCCTGTAAATAACCGGCAGCCGGGCATTAATGCTGAGAGGTGGAAACAGGCAGACATCCTGAGCTTGCTGTTCAATACTCCAGCCATGGTCAATGAAAAAACTGTTTCAAAAAAAAAAAAAGATTGCAGCTCTATAGCTGTACCCACATACACACCTGCATGCACACATGTGCGTGCGTGAGCACATACACACACACACACACACACACACACACACACACACACACACACCACACACACCACACACAAACAAAGATGACATGATAAAGAGAGAAAGTTAATAACAACATCTAAAAATATGTTAATTATTATGCCTCTGCTCTAGAAAAGGGCATTCATGAATGCTAATGCCTCCGTCTTATAGATCCTGTTGTTCTATTTTGTGGACAAAGGAACTAGGACTTGCACATAAGTTCGTGTGGCTGGCCAACAGAAGACGGTAGAGTTGGAGCTCAGCTCAGGACGTTGTGATTTTTACCTGACTTCCCAATCTCCTACTTCCAAAATGCTGCCTCTCTCCATAGGGGAAAATGAACAAAAATCAAAAACAACATGTCCTTTTTATAAAACAGTAATGTAAAACAAGCTGCAACAAGACAGCAGTGGTAACCTCAGAGTCTGAGGAGTTTGGGGTTTTGTTGCCCTTGTTGTTTGGATCTGGCTTGCTTTGTTTTTGTTTTACTCACTGGGGGAAAAATAAGCTTCCAGTCAGAAGGGTAGAATTCTCAGGATCTCCATCCTGTGAATGAATCTGGGGTAGAGGCAGGTGGAAAGGATGGCATCTTTGTGTAATTATAAAGTAATGGTACACATGCTATAGAAGATCATAGAGATAGTCAAGTTTGGTTGAAGTATTAACTAAAGGTTTGTCCATCTGTGTGTTTCTCAAAGAATTCAAGACTCCAAACCCTCTTTTAGCTTGGTTGGTAGGCATAAGATACAAAAAGTTGAGACCCAGTATTAGAAATAGCAGGGCCCAGTACCCAGGAAGAATCAGTACTAGTCTCCTATAGCACAAGAACAAAGGGAAAGGGGATATAAGTATAACAGGAACTGATTATCCATCTTACAAAGAGTTACAAGAGAGAGTGGAAGTTACCAAAATAAAGAAATGATGAATCTTTAAAGGCATTGAAATACTTCTCATCCTGTTTTGGTCATTGACATTGCATATGTGTATCGAGTTAATTATCTATCACATAGTGACTACTAAACACAAAGGATAAATGAATAAATGTTTAAAGACATAACCAGATATATAAACCACAACAACTTAATGGGACCTTTTCTTCTTCCCTATGTGTAGGAAGTGCATTTGAAGAACGCAAGTAGAGGAAGTGCAGGAAACAAGAACTACAGGATGTAGGAAGAACCTCCCAAGAAGCAGAAAATGATGTGTCACGGCAGGATCCTTTGATCTGCATGAACAACCTGCAAAACATTGGAACACCGACCAAAATAATAAGAATAATAAGTTCAATAACATTTCAAAGATGGGCATTTCCCCCAATGAAATATACAAGTAAACATTCCAACATTGTCTTTAGGAGTGTTTGTTAAAAACTTTGCAACTTGCAAAAGTGGTCCTGGAGTGGGTAAATTGCTGTTGATCCTTTATCAATAACGTTCTATAGAGAAAAATATATATATAATTATATCTCCTAGTCCCTGCCTCTCAAGAGCCGAAAATGCATGGGTGTTGTACAAATCCAGTTGCACTAAATTCCTCTCTGAATTTTGGCTGCTGAAGCCATTCATTCAGCAACTGTGTATACGTGGTTTATGAATTGCTCTCTTATTTTTACTTTTCCCCACATAGCTCAAGCTGCTTGTTTTACAGAGTGTAATGGTCTTGTCTATCTCCATTAGCCCTTTCTCTAACATTGGTATTTGTTGAATTTGGCCTCCTCAAAAGCAAGAGCAAGTAAGTAGTCAATTGGCCCACCAAGTTTTAACCCTCCTGACTTCATCTGTGGCATTTGTACCAAATATAAGTTGGATGCGTTTATTTTAGACACAAAGCTTTATTTTTCCACCTCGTATTACAAGAAAAAAAAATTAGAAGGACAATAACTGCAACTTTGAGGCCAATCATTTTTAGGTATGTGTTTGAAACGTAGAACATCTCTTCAACTCTTGGTGGTTCCTTCAAATGATAAGTTAGTATGTAACCTAACTAGCGATTGCTCTTTTTATTTTTTTCCATAATAGAGCACTATGTAAATTTAGCATATCAATAATACAGGCTATATCAACCAGTATGTAAAACTCTGTTGTTGTTGTTTTTTTAGTACAATGGTGCTATTTTGTAGTTTGTTATATGAAAGAATCTGGTCAAAACGGTAAAAGGTGAAAGCAAAGCAAAGATGAAAGCCTGGAGCCTAAGATGACAAAACTTAGAAAGGGAACTGACAAAAAATCCACCCTCTTGGGAGACACAAAGGCCTCCCCAGCTATGCCTTCCGAGAGGAATTTAAGACACAAAGTCCACTGAGACACACTTGGCAAGTGTGTCCAGAGAGGAAGCTATGGCATGGGAAAAGCAAGAGGCTAGGGATTTTAGGAGTCCTGGTTTCTTTTTATCACCGAAGAAACAAGGATTTGCAACTTCTGCCACATGGACTCACCACCATGTGACCTTGGTCAAGTCACTCCACCTCTCGGTGCCTCCGTTTCCTCATCTGCAAAATGGGGGGCAATATGTCATCTACCTACCTCAGAGAGGTGGTATGAATATTAAAAAGATAGATCTTCAGATTTTTCCTCTGGGTTTCCAGGAGGGTGCAACATCAGAGCCCTTGAATTGCTGAGATGCAAGGAATTCTGTAAATAACCCATTGACAGTGTAGCTCCAAGGATTATTCGTCAGTCACTGAGGTGACAGTATGATACCCAGGTTCTAATTGGTGAAGCTGTCCAACTAACTAGTGAAGAGCTAATGACTCCGTCTCCCCAGCATGCTGCAAAGTAAGAGACATTTGATGCATAATTTGGTTTTACTTCTGCATTGAACTTATGAATATAAAGATAAGTGAAAAGAAAGAAAAAGGGAGAAAGAGAAAGATCCTTGCCAATTAAAGAGTATTCCATTTATCTACTCATATTAATCCTTGTAGACACTTAGTATCTAGGAATAACTCTAATATTATCAATGATAATCTATTCAGTTTGAAAACCACATTTTCATTCCCTTTAGCATATAAAAAAATAAATACCCTAATAATAATATCTATTAAAAACCACAAGTTACTTTAGTGGATGTACTCTTATGCCCTTGCTTGCGTATATACGTACTTACTTTATTTTGTGAAAACGTGCTGGCCAGAATTGCTACTTGAGAGGCAAAAAGTTTCCATCTCAGCCCCAAGGTTCTCCCTAGTGTCTGCTTAAAAGAAAGAATTCAGCTTCCTGCAGATGTGCAGGATACATTCAACTGGGCATTGATAACCAAAAGAACCTAGAATAGGTCCCCTGTTTGTGGAGCAAGATTGTCTCCCTCTTTAGAACAAAAAATTATCCAATATCCAGTTAATCTTATGTACAGCCTTTTCTCTTTTGCAGACTTCCTTAATATTCTCACAAAATGTTTAAGAAAAACAAAAACAAAAAACAAGACATTTTTAGTTTTCCTTCTGCTGGGTTGCCTCAAGCATCTCTGAATAAATGAGAAAGTGCTGTTCAGTAAGACCCTCAGAAGGATTTGGCGAGCGAGCTGAACATGCCCTATATACATCATGGAGAGACGTAAATGGAATATTAGGTCCATTTCACCATCTCTCTGTTTCCCAGAGGTGTGGTGGGAAAAGTTGGACCTTCCCATACCCAGGGTGGCAGTTCTGACGTTAGTTCTTGTTTCCAGTGTATACCTTTTAAAGTTAGTGATTCCAAGAAAGCCTTATAGGCAGTCTTAAACAGATTTGTGGGGTTCCTGCCATGGTTGGATATGGTGATTCCAAGTGTCTGTCACATGTTTTGTTTATTTAATTCTATACATAGTCAAAAATTCTCTCAATGATGAAAACTTAAATATGCAATCCTTTATCCAATACATAATTCTCTCCAACTGAATCAGAAATCAACTAATAAAAATTAATAATACTAACACATCATTATACTCTCAGATGAATGAACACTGCAAGATAAATCTACATAAACTCTGAAAGCCAACTGACCATTATATGATAAATCAGAATGAATCAAGATTGGTAGGAAATGACACTTCAAATTTTACAACTCTAAATTTTGTAAGCTTTGCTACGGAGTTAAATAGTTTAGTGTCTAGAAATGGGGCAACTTTAAGAAGTTCACAAAAGAATTATAAAGATAGGTAGGAAGGAGTTTTCATTTGATAGGCTTATTCCTGATTTAATTAAAAATACTCAGTACCTAGGTCAAATTTTGGTCCTAGTCGCCAAAGAATATCAGTTGTTTGAACATTGTAAGGTGAATCAGTTCTACTGAAAAAGTTAACACATCTCTCAACTATAATCTACTTCCCTAGAGTAAAAAAACCACTTTTTTAATCCCCATCCTACATGTATGCATACACATGTGCACACACACACACACACACACACACACACACACACACACACACACACACCACCTACTCACCCTAAGAGACTCCAAATGGAATAATAAAAAGAAATCATTTCCATGAAAATCTTATGTTTAATAAAGGCAGCCCTGCCCCCTTGAGACTCCTTCCCCTTCTTGGAATATCAATGCAACATGTGGAATGTCTGTGTAGATGAAACCATCTCATACCCCATGGCTCCAGGATTTCTGCTGCTGGTGTGAGCACTTGGAGGGTATAAGGAAAAGAGGGTGCAGCATGTTTTGCTTTCCCATTTATTCTTTGGCCAGCTATGCCAATGTGGTGCTATTGTTTCTTTAAGAAAGTACTTGACTAAAAAAAACGAAAAAAGAAAAAAAAAGAAAGCATAGACATATTTTTTTAAAGTATGAAAACAACAATCCTATAGATAGACGGCTTAATAAGATAGTATTAGATCTAGCCACCACCTTTCAACTTTATATCACTAACAAGTAGAATATTGTTCACCAAGTTGTGAGTTTGGGGGTTCAGAGACAGAGGATGAAAAGGTGTTAAAGTCTGAAGACTCCATTATTTCGTTGGCTCTCAAATTCAACAAAATTAGCAATACTTTACCCAATCTGAAATGTTGCTCAATAGCATGGAGTCAAAATGGGAGGAGAAAAAGAACTTGAGGCAAACGGCAGAAGAGGATTAAGTTACCTCTTGCTTTTTGTTGGTTGCTTGGGTTTCTTGTTGATTTTTGGTTTTGATTTTAGTTTTGATGTGCGTGTGTTGCTTACATGTGCTTGCATGTGTGTGAGCACGCATGTGTGTGCTCCACTCTAAAACAAATGCTCAGAAAGTGGAGAAAATAAAAGCAAAGATTTTAAGAACATAGACTTACCTATTACTAGAAAGAGCTTCTGCCACATCCTCTAGGATATGCACTAAATTCTGGTTTTTAGAGGATGCTCTTCCACCAGACGCCTCAAAGAGTGCTCGCTCCCCTAGAAACAGTCATGGATCTCATTGGGAAAGGTTGGAAAGTATTTTCTTGTGAGATGGGGGTTATCTACCGACAAAGAAAGTTAAGAACTTATGAGAAATTTTTTAAGAAGATGGCTGACAATCTGTGAAGATTTTCTTTTGTTTTGTGTTGGTTTTTTTTTTTTTATCTTATACAATCTTTATGAATGAAAGTCTTAATGTTCAAAATGACTTGGTCTTTTTTTCTCTTTCGGAGTAGAATGGAAGATAATAAACTCATATCCATTCTTTATAGGCTAGCTAGAAATGTATGGTTTGGCTTATTGAATCAGACTATTTTAAATGTTCCTTTCTATTTTCAATCATAAAAGATTGTCTAGAGGAGGCCCTACTTGGCTCTTCTCCCATGAATAAGCATTCCCATTCAAAGCACATTGGTTTTCCCATGTTTTCAAAGATGGATGATTACTATTAAGGAATTATTCACCTTAAAATACAGTAGAGGTGTGAGTCTCTGTCCCCACTCCCCAAAAACATCATGAAGTCCTGACTCGGAGGGGGGTGAAACTAAGGGAAATTTTTGTTGCTTCTTTTGTTTTCAAGGCTAGTGCTTAATCCTATAGTGCATATTTACTTACTGCTATTGTGATACTCTATAAGACTTTCCTGTTAGGTATTAGAAAGTGATACATAGATACCTTCTTTGTGTGGTTTCTCTTTAAAAGAAAAGAGACAAGACTGTCTGAAGCTTAAGTGCATCTGGTACATGATAACCAAGTCACATCTGGTACTATCTATCCCCTCTTTCCTATCATTTTAAGGAAAACTTTCCTAGAGAAGACAGAAGCCCAGGGGACTTTTGAAACTGTCTTTGTTCCTCACAGTCCTTTTTCCCCCCAGTGTCTGCCTCAGACTTTTATAGAGGCTGGCCAGAGAAAATCTAATAACTAAAGGACTGTCTTTTAAAACACACATTTCACATGCTCCCTCTTAATTTATGATTATATTAATTTCAGACATGATTTTTCTTTTTTTAATCTGTCATTAATATGGGTTTTTAAGTAAAAAAAATTAACCAAAAAAAAAATGAGAAGGAATACAAAAATCCAAATGTCACCACCCATTGAAATGGAGCTAAAATGGAAATACTTTCTCCTACCTGAAACCCAGGCTAAATCACCTTCAACATGACCTTTCACAGTCTTTAGAATCTGCCTGTGTTTAAATTGCCTAGGCCTAAAAGTAAGCATTATTCATTTTCTTTTGCCCAAAATGCACTTATGTAAAGTACGAAAATGAAAATCAGAACTCAAAAAATCCCTTCCAAACCTCCCACTGACCCTGTTCACCAGCTCATTGTAAAGTTTCTTTTGTTGATCACCTAATCTCATTCTGTTTGAATATTTACCTTGTACCTACTGCTAACCACACTGCAGGAGGACTCTGAAACCTCAAGCTGTCTATTCACAACTCTTATCTGTGTTTATGTATCATTAAAATATCTATTCAAAATATCAAAAATTTCTAAACATCATGCAGTTTATATTCAATTTACATTAAGAACCCCAAATATCATATCAGATCAGATCTCTGTTGGTTAAAGAGTTAATGAGCTATGAGAATTTGGATTACATCATGTATTTTTCTTCATTTTTATCACATTTAAAATAAAGGCCAAGTGTGATAAATAACTTACAGACATTGAATTAATTTTCCTCCTGAAACCTGAAAGTAATAATTGGTCACTCATTGTATCTCTTTTATTCAAAAACATCTTCTATCAAATTAATCCTGATTGTATTTGAAATGATTATTATTCAATTCATTTATGGAAAAACAATATCAGTCCTAATGACTTCTAAAAATGTAACTAACTGAATCATTATCTTACATTTACTGTTTAGTAAGCATATTTTGAAAATGTATGGCTAGAGTGTCATAATAAAATGTTATATCTTTCTTTAGTAATTACATTAAAATTAATCATGTTTGATTAATTGGTTCTTTTGCTGTAGTGTGTCATTTCTTAAAATGTCTACTGTTGCATAGCATTTTTAGTAATGATGGTGAATGCAACTCACAAACACAGAAAACACCCAGAATAAAGAGATGTATGAATTGTATAATATATTCTTGAACAATGAAGTAGGCGGATGAGACCAACCCCATTCACTGTGACCCAAAAGTGAGTTATAACCCATGATGCAAGTAGCTAGGAAAACATTTGCATTCCAAGAGATCCACCCACATCCTATAATGAACACACACAAATAACACTGGATGCACTCCCATATGAAGAGATTTTATAAGAATATGATTTCTCACCACTGAGTTCTTTCAAGAAATCTATTTACTGAATACATACCATGGTGTCACACTCATACAAGTATTAGTAGAAAGACAAGTTGTAGTGTACAGAAATTTTCCTCCTGTTCAAAAGAGTCTGACTCTATTTTCCCTTTTATTATCCTACCTTTCACTCTTTAGAGAGAGACTAAAGTAAATAGGAGCCATGTGATTTGCACTTGGATTTAAGGAAATAAGGCAGATGTTTTCTTTAATATTGTCCCACATATCATTGGTAGCTGAGCTCAAATTAATTCCCAATCTTTGTTCCTTTAAACTTGCCATGGATTTTCACTAACATTCTGCAGTCCCTCTTCCAAATCCCCTGTGTTTTGTCTCCAGTGGCACTGGTCTTCAATGTAGCTCTTCTCCTTCCTCTGCCCAAGATGATATCTTTCCCCTCCATTCACATCCATCTAACCTGGTTACACCTTTTCTGAAATGGTTGGTGGATGATGAAGGGAGAGGCTGGTAGCACATGATAGAACAGGGTTTCCAACTTGACACCCCTAATCATTATTAGTTCGAACCCATCAAGGAATTTCTGACTGCTCACAGGCCTCTGGATAAGAAGACCCTATCCTATTCTGAAATTCTCCCAGAAACTACATGACTTCCTACCAAACCCTTCACAAGCTTGCAAGGAAATTCCATTATGTTCTGGGAAGCAACATTTCCTCGCAGCTTTAACCTATGTTTGGGGGTATGAGCAGACTGACTTACTTTTTATTGTTGTATATTGTCCAAAGCCATTTTCCTCCCAAAGAGCTGAAGAGAAATTCTACCCCTGGAAAGATCTCCAAGATGAGTTAGGCCAAATCATTGCTTTTCGTAAAAATAACATTTCTTGCTGTTTGATGAGCATCATTGATAATTACCACTAACTGTAATAATAATAAAGACTAACAACAATAAGTTATTGCTGTGATCTACCTATACTGTATCATTTATCCTTGTTTCTTAAAAAAAAAAAGCATCAAGCACTACTCTAAAGACTAGGAATGGAGGCTCAAACACATTAATACACTAGAAGTCAAAGACAGTCCAAGCATACCTGAATATGGTCTGAATATGGTCTTCATACTTAAAACTTCATCATTTCATATTCAATTCAGATGTAAGGACACAGCAGCATACTAATTGACACTTCTTATTCAAGTTTCATTTTCCATTTTAGAGGCAGACTGCAGTTACGTATGTCTTTGGGTCATAAATCATATTGGAGGGCATTCTCGAGATAAGTAAGCATTTCTGCACAGCAGCAATGTATTTAAGCTAAACTCTCAACATTACTACTGCCTCTCTTCCACTTGTTTAGGTTACAGTGTTGATTCTTGATAGCACTTGGGATAGTGTTTGGGAAATCCAAGAGCAAACCAATCTTGGGAGAAGTCAATGAGCGAGGTTATGTCCTAGACCCACAATAGTCCAGGAACAAACAATTCATACATAAGGAAATGTGTAAGTTGATCATGAAGTCTCTTACTAGAGACTTGGCAGTAATCCATCTGCTTTTTCCTCAACAGTTTTCAAATCTGTTGAGGTCTCAATGGCCAATGGCTGAATTGGAGGTTCTGGAAAGAAACATATCTTTATAGCCTGGAGTTTCATAACATCAACATACCTACATCTCTTCCTTTGCAACCCACGTTAGCCAAGTCACACAAGAGGTTCTAAAATTTCGAAAATCTATGGAAACACTCAGAGTTGTTGAATAATAAGGGAAATGTGATTGGCATTTATTGAGCAGGGACCAAGACTTCAGACATTTCATATAAATGATAACCTGTTTAATCATCATCAGAGCCTAGAATACAACTTCAACTTATTATAAGTTCAAAGTATTTTTCCATGGCTTTAACTTAAGCTAAACACTACAAGGATGAAATCGCCATTGACTCAAGGGAAGGTCAACTGTCCCTTGTTTGTAACCTTACCAAGTCTTATCCGCCATTTTGGAAAATCTTATCAACAATGGTGACACTCACTGGGTTATCTGAAGTCTCTGTTCCACACCTGTATCACTCTATGCCACTATAGTTCTTCACGTGGTTACAAACATCTGGTGGCATCATTGTATTTTTCAGTGAAGTAGTGTCAGGCATTTCTTCATGTATATTTTGCTGTACACTCTTTCTATCTCTCCCTACCACTGCAGTTTAAGCATTTCTGCAATGGTTCTCTGTTGAAATTGTATATGGTGACACTGAGTTTTGCTTTGGGACATTAGCATATCAAAAATAGTCATTACTAAGTTTATGGTTCTAAGTTAAAGCTGAGGACTCCAGGACTATCAATTATGACTCTTAATGGAAAATAGGTTACAGAGCATATGTCCCCAAGCAGTGAAGTCTTCAATACAAGGCTGAACTGAAAACCATCTCCAGTTTATAGATAGAGACTAATTCTCCTTGGGATCCAACAAAGGAAAATGGTTATAGTTATTGCAACATCTGGTTTCTAAAAGTTCTTTCCTTCACCCCGTGATGGGCTGAGATGACTTTGAAAAAGAATACAGCAGTCACTGAAAGCAGAAACAGGTGTAAATTGGATTTGAAACAACTGCAGCTGTGCATCAGAACCAGAAATTGCCCTTGGATTTCAAGTAATGTGGGAAATGTTCCTCTTCTTGGCATAAAGGAAGAGCTAAAGATTGAGAAACCCTCCTGCCATTTCCTAACTAGCTTTGCTTTTTGAACTCAATGCTCCTGCCTATTCCCAGCATCCCGTAGAAAGGACAGAGAAGAAAGTTTTTTCTTCCAAATGGAAATTTGAGGCTGGAGTCATAGGCTCTAGTCATAGCAACTTCTCTATTCCAATGCTGTAAAGAGAATCTAACATTCCACCCCATAAACGTGGAACTATTCTTCCAAACCTCAAATCTCTAAAACATGAGAAGGGGTTAGATGGGTTTTTGGAGATACTGAGGGAGAGAACAGTAGGAGAAGCAGAGCCACTGTTCATGATCGTGCCTCCCTGATTTATCTGGCTCAAAACTCCCATTTAGACTCCCTTATGTAACCTAAAATACGCACAATTAGAACTACCCCAGAATCAAATTTCTCTTCATTTCTCTCTGCTTTAAAGGTCATTTGGAAATAGACATTCCTACCCTTCTCCCATAGCCAAACATATTGATTCTCTTAGACTGTGAATACCGAGAAGACGCCTCTGGTATCTCTAGACCCCACAACTGTAGTAAAAACTGCAGTGAAATAATGTTCTTCTGACTGTGTTAGAATGCGATGCCTATTTGCTCCCTCACACGACTATTTCTCAACATTTTTTTTTAATCTGTTTCCATAAGGAACTATATTTCGTAGCACCTCCTGTCCCTGGGCTCCGGTTAAGTGTGGCCAACAGGAGGCACTCACAAAAGACAGAAGGCTTTAGGGAGGAAGGAAGTCGTACAGTTTCCCCCTTTCTATCTTTTTCAAAGTAGCACTTTGGTGAGTAACTGCATATCTTCCGTCCGTGGTCTTTGCCTCCCGGAACAAGAAGTACCTGTCCCTCCTGACAGACCTATGTCTATCCTCTTGTTGTTTTCCCAAATGAAAGCACGGCTCCTCTCTGGCTCTCTAGCCCTGGGTGCGGTGATTTTTTGACGCTTGTTCATCTCTGGTTGCCTCTTCCCCTTTCACTGCTCATCTCTTTATCAGCTACGTTAAATTCTGCTTTCAAAACCTGACACAGCTCCTGCTTTCTTCGGGGGACTCCACACAATACAAACAGAAAGAAGAGGGAAAGAACACTGTGAGCTGAAGTCAGGCAGACTGCGGCTTAGATGTGGCTCTGACACTTTCAGCCAGGTGCTGAGGGCAAGTCACTGCACAGAGAAACGTCATTGATAAGGTCTGAACGGTGAACTGTGATATAGAGATACAAATGTAAGGGCAATTCAATTCATTTAGCCCAATAATGATAGTAGGTTTGCCCCCTGGGGCTTGTGAGTTTCACAATCATGGATTCTTGTCCAGATTTACAATACAAGGCATGCGTTTTTCTCTTGTGGATCAGACCAGAGAGCTAATCAGAAATCACTTGGTTAGCCCCATAACACTCATGCTACTAATTTAACCATGGGAATATCTGGATAGGCCAGTCATTATTTGTAGCTCACAGGGCTCACAGCTGGATACAGTTGCTGATGACTTGTCTCCCCCAGCAGCCACCACAGCACCTTCCAGGACTGTGAAAGCCAGTCAACAGGGAAGTACTTCCAGGTGAGTACCAGCATGGTGTCTCCACACCCAGGGACTAAAGTGTGTGGTGTCTGCAGCAACAGGGTTCTACCATCAAGTTCCAGTGGGAAACTAAGGCCAATAGCAGCCAAAAACCTGTATTGTTTGGGACACTCCTGACCAACAATTTGAGAGGAGGTATCCCACATCTGGCATTGGGCGTTTTATTTGACAACCTATGGCTTCTAGAAGAATCACTGTCGCCTGTGTAGGGTAACTCTAATTAATTAATTATGTCATATAAAAGAGTGTATATATATATATATATATATATATATATATATATATGTATGTATATGAAGTTTATAAAATATAGGTTCCCACATTGATTTTCAAATACTCTTAGTGTTGGTTATCCCTCCTTCCCATACCCTCCATCTACAGGTGAGTCCTCTGAACAGGAAAGGGGG